GGACCAATCAATCTCTCTACGATTCATTCATTCGTTTCGATGGTAAATTGGTTCAGGCATATGCAACAGGAGTCAAACATGCCATAAGCTTGCTTGTGCGTAATGATAAGTAACGGCCATTAGAAGGCTGAATCAAAAGTGGACGGTCCAAGTGGTGCGACCGAAGTGGGTATAAATTGTTAAAAAATTGTTTTGCTGCTGTTGATGGGCCGAACTATAATTTCTGAAATAACGGCTAGTTCGAAACGTAGAAAATTACCCAAAATCTTCAAATTTTAATATGGGAGTAGAATTAGTTAACGAATTATAATGGGAAAGATGGTAGGGTTGCTTGCTAATGTGGTACAAACCGTATATGTTGAAAAGTCATGTAAAGAGGAATTACTCCCGAAAGACAGGAGCCATCGAAAACTCAACCAGCGAGTGGTTGCTGTTGGCATTTGCTATCACTCGGACTATTTCCCAAATGTCTTCGATTTTCACAAACAGCAAACAAGCTGGGAATGATTTTTTATTGACAATAAGCCTTACTTCTGGATCAGTTAGGTCCTCCAGGCGATCACAGTACACATAAGGATGAGTGGTTCGCCAAATCAACGGTCGAAATTTTGTCACAGATATAAATCGTGCCAAATTTCTAATTTCGTTCCTCAGATACTGTTCGTTTATCAGCCCGGACAAGTAAAACAATTTTGCACCCTGAAACAATCTGAGGCAAATTAAACTGAAAAAACCCATACAGTAGGGTCCGCCACTACTGCATCCTTCTGAAAAACAAAAAAAAACAAAAATGAAGAGAAATTATTGCCGCGTCAGAGCCGACACGAAAAACAAGTAACGATTCGGCTGAATTATGGCATTTTTTGAGTAAAACGAGAAAAGAGAATAAAAAGGAACGGCCGTAGAAGCCTAGCCAAAATCAGTCGCCCTGAGTGGGGTTGACGGGAAGGTCGAAATTGTGAAGTGGTATAATTTTAGCTCACAACCAAAGAATCTGTAATAGGTACTCTCGACAGGTCCGGTAGCATCACTAACATGGAATACCCAAACTGATACCCCCGTGGTATTCATTGGGCATAAATACAACGAGTTATTTTTTGCCTCATTAAAAAAACAGCGATCAAATTTGATAGACTCACAAAAAGCAGCAAGGATTTGACGCTAAAATAGGCTAAACAGTATAACGTGAGAGGGGAAACCCCCCTACGCGACAATAGTACCGACTTAAAAATGCAATTCAGAAAAAGGAAGACCTGATAAACTTCTGTCCAGAAACGATGCTTGAGTAGCTTTTTTGTATGCTTAACTTTGGCCTTATTTTTGATAACATCAAGATGACTGAGAACACCCAAAATTCGTGGCATCCCATGC